TGACATGAGTTTTGCTTTCAGAAATTTGAGATGCAGTTTCCCAGAAACCCCTGCACCTATCTCCTTCATGCTTGGCATGTTTTATACTCTCAGCAGAGGCTACCATCCTTACAGGTTTCATCTGAATCAGCCATACGATAGCAAAGTTATAGATATTTCATTGATTCCAATTATACTCTATAGCCGAATTTCCGAATTGGCTCCAAATCACCTCTGAATCTTCCAAAGCGATTTGGACAAATTGAATCGGAAAAATGATTTGGATCTCTGAATCTAATCTGTGGCATCTGAATCGCCTGAATCCAAATCAAATGTTTCCCCATTCGCACAGACCTAGTTTGTGGCTGTATCTGGATCTAAGTCCACAACAGGAGCTGTTGTCCTGAAGATGTTTTGACTGTAGGTCAGCACAAGGTGACTTAGATGAGAAAGTGGTGCCAAACTGTGAAGTGTTGTTTCTGGGTCTGGGAAATGATCAGCGAATGGTGGGAGAGGATCATCATGGCCCCCTAGAATGATGACCAGTGCTGCATAAACTTCCACATCTCCTTCATGGAGATCTGCACTAGACTTGACCTGTTGTCCCCAAAGGACAGTGAGTTCGTGCCCGGTGCGCTTGTGCCAATAAACACACGGGGGTGAAGGATCCAACTTAATCTTTATTTCTGCGCAGAAAGTGGTGCTTGGCAATCGTTCGCAAAGCAAGCACACCCACCCCAGTGGGCATCTGCCTTATATAGCTACGTAACAGGTTAAACCTGCTGATGTGATGAAATGTGTAGCAAGCCCAGCAAGTAACCCCCCTTCCAGCTCCAGAACTTTGTTGATACAGCTTTTCCTCTAGCGAGGCCAGCAATTATAAACAACTAAGCAACAAGCCATCTCCCCCAGCCTAAACAACCTATTGTATGCCCTTGGTTAGATAAAATACTTTTTCAGAACACAAAGCTGTTCCTGAAGTAGAAAATGCATAGTAAAAGTTCAGGGGATCTCTGCTGGACATGGCTTCCAGCCCTACCTCTGTCCCTAGGGGTTTAGCCAGGTGCCCCTGAAACAAGGGGTGCTTATCACCAGTGACCATGGAGCTGTCTTTCTGTCCCTCCTCCATTTGACTCCCAGCAGAGCTTTGCTGAGCAGTGTTTGTCCACCGGCTCCTTGGACTCATTCAAGGGCCAGTGGGCGCTGGCTGCTGTTCTCTGCTTGGTGTATCCCCTTGGAGTGCTTGTTATGAACCTCTGCTCCTGGCTACTGTCCCTGTTACTGCTTCAGTTGCCCCAAGAACTTTGTAGCCCCCTCTCACAGGGGACTAACCATTTCTCTGTGGGCCCAGGCCTCTAATTCTTTGTGTAGCAAATAGGCCTGATCTCTGGAGCTGCTTGCAGATGTTCAAAAAAAAAAAAAGGCAAACCAAACAAAAAAACACACTTTACCAGAAGCGCATTACTTCAACCTAGCTCTTCAGCATCTGCATAGATTGGGTGCTTCCAGGGCTTTTTGTCACTTTTAGCTAAAGCTGATTCAATCAGCTGTTGCATAAAAGTGCCAAAAAAGGCCCGCTAAAGTGCCGGGTCTATACAGATGTCAGGCAAGCCAGATCCAACTAAGGCACTGCCTCTTTTGGGTATGTGTGGGGCTTGGCGGGGGACTGCATCGAGTTTAAGGTAAAGCACCATTTTGTTCTGTTTTTGAACATCTGCAAGCAGCCCGGGTTCTACATATGCACAGAACAGCCTTAAAGAGAGCTTATATAGCTGCTGGAGGATTCTTCCATACAGGAGAACTGTCAGTGGCGTAGGATCACTGCAGCAGTTTTTATACTGTGCCCCTCTCAGCCACCAGTTTGGGGAATGTGGGGGAGAAAAGAACTGACAAGGGCTTCCCAAACTTCTGAGGATCCATAGACGTCACCCTGCCCAGGCCCTCGCTCAGCTGGCCATCGACCTGACCAGAAAAGCGGTTCTGGCCAGCGGGACCCCAGTGATTATGATGCCATCTTGCTGTCCCTTGTCCATATATGTCTCCAGGAAGAGTTTTACTGGATGGTGTCCATGGGCTCCTTGACTTCATTGGAGGGGTGATAGGCACTGGCTGGTGTGCTCCGCTTGGTGTCCCCACTTAGAGCATTTGTTACAAACTTCTGGCCCTCACTCCTTTCCCTGTTATTCCTTTAGTTGTCCCAAGAACTCTGTTGGTTCATGCTCAGTAGCCCCCTCTAAAAACAGAGAAGGTTAACTAACTGTTTCTGTGTGGGCCTGGGCCCATGATTCTTTGTAAACCAAATAGCCCTGTCCCTCATCTGCTCACATCTCCAGGTAGAGTATAGCCAGGCGGTGCCCACTGGCTGCTTGGATTCATTCAAGGAGCTGCACACTAGCTGCTTTGCTCTGCTTGGTGTCCCGCCTGCTTGGAGCACTAGTTATGAACCTCTGACCCATGCTCTGTCCTTGTTTTTGCTTTAGTTGCTTCAAGTATCCAATTGTTATGCATTTAACAGCCCCTTCTAATATCAGTGGGGCTAACTATTTCTTTGTGTGCCCAGCACTATGGTCCCCTATGTGTAACAAATGGGCCTGACATCCTGGAAAGGGGCAGGTTCCAGGAGGGAACTCAGGGCTTGTCCAGCCTCTCCCCCAGCTGCATGGTTGGGCCATTGGTTGATATCACCCAACTCTCCTCACCAGCCCTGCATGTGTGTCCTGGGCCATCTCTGCAGAAATCCCTGCGCTGCTGCAGCCAGGACTGTGAGGCCTACAGATGGGTACTTGGGGGTCCTGGATCCCCTGGAGAATCCCTCAATGCCAGAGTGCAGGGTTCGCAGCGAATGCACTTAGGCTGGCAGCCCTGAGGTTCCCCAAGCTCTGGTTTTGCCACTGTTCTCCTGGGTTACCATGGGCCCAGCCTTTACTTGGTGTTGCCCTGGCCCTGACTGTGTAAGGAAGAGCTGCATGTTTCCATCCAGCCCTGGTGTATGAGGAAGGTTCACTGAGAAACCTTTGAGAAGTGTTTTGACATTTTCTAGTACAAAGGTATTCTTGACATGCAACCTGTTTAACAGTTGAAAAAAGGGACTGCTGTTGAATGAGATCATTGAGCTCAGGATTTCTGCTCTCTGAAGCTGTGAGTGGCAGAGGTAGATTTGTGGTTTGGGGAGAATTTTTTTTTTTTTTTTTTTAAGTGCAGTAGCTTAAAAGCAGATGTTGTTTGTGGGAGCCTTTGTTTCTGAGGCCTTCGGAGCCTTGCTTGGAGGGGGCCATTTTTAGAGCAAATGTGTCATTTCAGGTGGGTGAGGAAGAGTGGTCAGATATGGAGCCTGTGACCCCTTTACACACTCTCTCATCCAATTTGGAAAACCTGTTTGAATTCAAGTGTAAATGTAAGTGAGAATTTTTGTCTCAACATGTTATCAGGATGAGCCTTTTATTTTACTTGTTGGGGTCATTTTTTCTCCCCATGGTTTTATTTTTAAGTGGCAAAAGCATTCTTAAATGTGGCAGTACATTGCAATTCTTAAAGGATAGTAATAAAGTAATTGGTAATATTCTTAGGATGAAATATATCCGTAGGATCTATTAGTAAAGAAAAAGTGAACTTCAGGACTGGTAGGTAGTCTAGATGGAGTATAATTGAGATTAAACAATCAAAGCCTAAAGAAAAATAAGAGAGGATAGGATTAATGGGAGTCTGAGATTTCGATGCATGAAATTGAAGTAATGTTGAATTTATCTTATTTATGTTTTAGAATCAGGGGCTGTTTATACATTTGGAAAAAGCAAATTTGCTGAAAACATCCCAAGCAAGTTCTGGTTTAGAAATGATACGCCTTTGTCGATTTGCTGTGGTGATGAGCATACTGCCGTTATAACAGGTTAGTATTTACACAGAATCTGAAGAAAATGTTTACAATATACATATGAAAATGTATTATTTTAGTTTCATTTCTGTGGTGACATCTAAGGGGGGGAAAAGTATTCTGTGGACAAAATCACTAATTTCAATGAGATTTGCGAGTTTCATAGCCTTGGGCTTTAACAGATGTCCAACTAAGTGAGTCTTTAAAGCAAATTTTGCCCAGTTTGAAAAAAGAACACTAAGTATGGCAATATCTAATAACCATTCTTACAAGTAAAAAGCAAACGCTTACATAGTAGAAGTAATCAGGTTTCAGTGAATATTTAAAGCCCCTAGCTCATTGACTAAGCTGTTGAAGAATGTAGGGATGAAATCAGAAAGGTCAAACTGCAGTTGGAGTTGCATCTAGCAAGGGACATGAAGTGATAACAAGAAGGATTTCTACAAATTTGCCAGCAACAAGTGGAAGGTCAGGGAAAGTGTTGGGGAGGTTCCCAACATCCGGGCCACGGCTCAGTACTGGGCCGCAAAGGGTTGACTGCCGGACCGGAAGTCCGGAAGTGACCAGCATACTGCAGACTGATAGCCAACTCTTTTTTATACTGAGTATAAAAAAAGTTTGGCTCCTGGTCCACGGTATGCCGGTCACTTCTGGACTGCAGTATGCCGGTCTGCAGTTTGCTGGTCCGCTGTCACTTCTGGTCTGCGGTGTGCTGGTTCATGGTCTAAAAAGGTTGGGAACCACTCCTGGGGAAGGCAGCCTAGTGACAAGGGATGAGGAAAAGACTGAAGTGCTCAGTGCCTTTTTCACTTCAGTTTTCACAGGCAGGGTCAGCTCCCAGATGACTGCATCTGGCAGCACAGTTTGGGGAGGAGGTGAGCAGCTGACAGTGGCAAAAGAATAGGCTAGGGATTATTTAGAAAAGATGGATGTGTGCAATGTTTGGGATGGGACGTGATGAACCCGAGGATGCTGAGGGAGTTGGCTGATGTGATTGTAGAACCACTGGCCATTATCTTTGAAAACAGATGGTGATTGGAAGAGTTACCAGAAGATGGGTGGGAAAAAGGCTAATATAGTGCCCATCTTTAAAAAGGGGAAGAAGGAGGATCTAGGGAACTATAGACCAGCTTCACCTCAGTCCCTGGAAAGATCATGGTGCAGGATCCTCCAGGAATCCATTTCTAAGCACTTGGAGTAGAAGAAGGTGATTAGGAACAGTCAGCATGGATTCACCAGGGGCAAGTCATGCCTGCCCAACCTGACTGCCTTCTGTGATGAGGCGACTGGCTCTGTGGATGTTGGGAAAGCAGTAGATGTGATGTACCTTGACTTTAGCAAAGCTTTTGATACAGCCTCCCACAACATTCTTGCAAACAAGCTAAGGGAAGTATGGGTGGCATGAATGGACTGTAAGGTGGATAGAAAAATGGCTGGATCAGTGGGCTCAAAGGGTAGTAATCAGTAGCTCAATGTCTAGTTGGCAGCCAGTATCAAATGCCCCAGGGGTCAGGCCTTGGGCTGGTTTTCAATACCCTCAATCAGTGATCTGGAAGATGGGATGGCGTACACCCTCAGCAAGTCTGTGTGTGACACCAAGTTAGATGGAATAGTAGATATGCTGGAGGGTAGGGCTAGGATTCAGAGAGATCTTGGCAAATTGGCGCATTAGACCAAAAGAAATCTTATGAGGTTCAACAAGGACAAGTGCGAAGTCCTGCACTTAGGATGGAACAATCCCATGCACCAGCACAGACTTGGGGCTGACTGGCTGGGCAGCAGTTCTGCAGAAAAGGACCTGGAAGTTACAGTGGACAATAGGCTGAACATGAGCCAACAGTGTGCCCTTGTTGCCAAGAAGGCTAACAGCACACTGGGCTGCCTTAGTAGGAGCGTTTCCAGCAGATAGAGGGGAAGAATCACTTCCCACAATTTGGCACTGGTGAGACCACATCTGTGTCCAGTTTTGCCCTCTCCCCCCAACACACACAACAGAAAGGATGTGGACAAGTTGGAGAGAGTCCAGCGGAGGGCAACGAAAATGGTGAGGGGGCTGGGGCACATGACTTATGAGGAGAAGCTGAGGGAACTGGGTTTATTTAGTCTGGAGAAGAGAAAACTGAGAGGAGATTTAATAGCAGCCTTCAACTCCCTGAAGGGTGGTTACAAAGAAGATAGAGCTAGACTGTTCTCAGTGGTGGCAGATAACAGAACAAGGAGCAATGTACACACATATGCACACACACACGCTCAATGACTTGGTAGAAGTCTCAGTCAGTTCTCCAGCATGTTTTGGAAATGCCTCTCTTCCTACTAGCTCACCTTTTTTCCTTTAGCATGCTTATATGGCAGTAGGTAAAACTTCACTTAAGAAAATGTTGGAGAAGCTTTGCAGTGCATTCTGGTCTAGGAAGCAGGTTTCTGACTTCCTCAGTCTGTGAGGAGGATGAGGATTAACTTAGTTTCTTTGCACCCTGTAAATGAGATAAAAAGATGAGGTAAAATGATTGAGCAGTGATGCTGGATGAAGGGGAAGGAACTGTGGCAGCCTTACCAGAAGGCAAAGAGGGCTGAGAAAAAATCTGGGGCTTCCACCCTCTTCCTTCCCTTCTGCTACTATGTAGTATGTAATATTGGACCTCACAGCCAATGTAAATGACAGTGGATACCTTGCAAGCTCTGGAGGAGGGAACTTCTGGTGTGCACACTGATGCCAACCTTACTGAGGTGGGACTTGGAGAATGCTGACCGAATGATGAGCCAGGAGCTCATTTAGACCTAGCTGAATGTGATATAGAAAAGCCGAGGAATAGAACTTTTAGAGGAAAGGAAGGGAGTTCAGGTAGGGATTTTCACACACAGGTGCATGTTTTGGGTTGTTTTTTTTTAACTTTGCTCATGGGTGCTGAAGCTCCCTTTCTGTTTCCTTCCTCTCTCTGTTAACAAGAATGACCTAACGCACACAGGTAGGGAGCAAAGGGAATTAGCTTTTGAAGTATCTGTTTTATTTTATCATGCTCTGGTAGTAAACAACTCCAAAGCATTCCAAAGCATATATTTTTGGCAGGTTAGGTAGATTGAGTCTCTAGCAACATAAATCAGTGCACTGTAAGCAGAAAAATACATTGAACCAATATATATGCATATAACTATAATAATCCTTTTGAGCAGTCTAGTAACAGGTCATTCAAACTACATGATTTGATAATGTAAAGTAAAGGATAAAGCTAAACAAACAGAAACATCAAAAATAGTGTCATAGTTTTTCCGGGCAAGTATTCAAGACCAAGAATAATTACTTGCATACTGTGTTTGGAGTTGGGGTGAAAAGAGGTAAGGAGCTCTTGCTGACTCAAAGCTTTGGCTTTGTTTTGGTTTGCAGATCTAATCAGGATGACAGTTCTCCTCTATTTGTAAAGTGAGGGGATTTTTCTGTTTTTGGCCCAGGTATCTCTTTTGTCTTCTTGTTAAACTGCTCAAGGAGGCATTATTTAAACTTCCCATGAACCTTTCTAGAAAGGCTGTGTTTTTTTCCCCACCCCTTCCATGTTTTTCTGCAATGGCAACTTGTGGTACTGTCACAGTAAAGCAGGCTAGAAGCATGTGAGCCTTTGTGATCTTGAACAGTGGTTTCCTCTGAACCTTTGGTATTTTTTGAGGCAAGCATCAACTGGAATCACCTTGCCCCTACATGGGTTGTCTAAGACACGCCTGGCAATCTCTTCCCCTTCCACTTTTTGTGGGTCCAAACTTTGAAAAGTGGCCATCTTGATGGAAGCAGTTGAACTGTCCTGAAGTAAATGACCCTGAGGAACATCTGACCCACTTGTAGCAAGGGGTCCCTACCCCTGCTACTGGAAGGAAGTAAGGGCAACATTGCAGAGGGCAGGGTAGGGAATACAGCAGAAAGACAGTCTGCAGAGACTGGGAAGGAGACAGACCTGCTCAAGTTAAGGTGCAATGATGGGCCAACTGGCAGCCTAATGATGAGCAGGGCAGGGCAAGGTGCTAAAAACTGAACTCCAGTTCTCTAAATGTAGCCTCCCAAATATGTTAATTTTGACATTAAGACATGGCAGGAAAGAGAATGAAGCCACATTGGGGAAGGTGGAGTAGGAGAATGGGCATAGTGTGGCTCCTAGGGTCTGCTGCGGCCATCCTTGGAGGCTCACTGTTGTACCACTTAACATTCCCATAAAAAATTTAATAAAATTTAGGAGTTTTTCCACTTCTTTTCTCTTGTTGTTAATTCCTTACCATGAAAACAGTGTGTATCTTCTTGTTTATCAGTGGCCTCAACTAAAATATGCTTGAGAAGCACCTCTTCTACATGTGCTGAAAGAAGAAGGAAGAAATAGACAAAGGAGATCTTGATCTCTAATCCTTTCAAGAAATTAGCCTGGAGCCTACAAAACAAGGCAGTGGAGTTAACACATGCTGGAGTAAAAGCAGAAGGGCTAAGAGATGACTAGAGAAATACATGAAGACATGAAGCTCCAACAGCCACGGCACTACATGGGCTATCAGACTGCTGCTCATCCCAGTTGCACAGGCCATAGTGTCAGCAGAGCATGCTATAGTATAGCATCTACCATTCAGTCCCAAAGGAAACCAAGGAAGATTAGCACAAATATGCCTATACATGCGCATGGCTCTTTGATTAATTTAGCAGTAGCCAGTGCCTTGAACTTTCTTTTTATGTAGCTATAAACATTTTTAGATGTATGTTTTGTTTCTCACTGTTCAGTGAAGTTTTCTTTTTGCATGTTTGTGAAAAATCATTATTTATTTACTTTGTCTAACAACACAGAAATGTGATTACCAATTTGGCACCCCCTCACCAGATTCTTAAAATGTCAACAGTTCATTTTAAAATTTGCATGCAAGCCAAGTACAGTTTATTCTCAAAGTAGCACAAATAAACACAAAACAGCACTCTGTGTGACATTTATGCCGTCAAACTTGGGTCCTGAGGCTTCTTTAAACAGAACAGAACTGTGATATGCTGTTGTAATTGCCTTTTGTTTCTCACTGTTCAAAATCAGCAAGCAGTCATTCCATTTTACTCTTCACTGTTCAGGCAATGCATCTCTCTTGCCTTCTGAAATACTGTATTTTTTTTGCTTACAACATGCCCTAGAATAAGATATGCATCTTGTATTTGAAAGGCAGAATGAAGGGAAAAAAAAGATCTTTCCTCTTTAGTAACTGAATAGCAGCAGCTAGAAAGCTGAGCCTGCTCATTGTTCTGGTCCCCGTGGATCATTTGCCAACTTCTGCTTTCATTGGGTCAAAGCTTAAGCAACAAGACCATATTTCTTTGCTTATACTGCACGTTCTAATTTCTAGCCATTGTATTTTGGGGGGAAAGTGCATTCTGTATGCAAGAAAATATGATATTATGTAAAATATGACATACTTCAGTTGTTATTGATCTATTTGGCTTGCTGACATCCAGCCTTGCACGAGGCATCTCTAGTGTCTACAGTACTATCTGACACCTGTTTTGCTGATAAGTAAAATCCTGCTTTGCTTCTGTATGGGTACCTGCTTTATAGCTTTTGAGCCAAAGAAGTGCAGGATATGTTGAGTTTCCAAGGATCCCAGTTGTTGCAATTCTGCTTATATGAATACTCTGAGAAAAAAATGCCCCCGCTTGCAGCTTTACAAAGTCCTATGTTCATACAGTTGTATTTAACCTATAGCTTCCCTAGCCCATCCATAGTCAGAAACATCCCTGCTTACTCCTTTTTTCCATAATTATGTGTGTACCCAGAAGCAATATTATGGAAGGTAAGGTAGAATTGAAATATTCATCTACCATGTTACCAGAATATGCAATTCCTCTTACTTCACATTGCCCTGAGTCACACTTCTATACATCACAGCATATGTAATGGTCTGTTATCCTTGAATGACAGGTGGTAACAAATCTGCAGGAAGTGCAAGTAATTGTTAGTCCAATGACCAAAAGCAGTTTGGGGCTGCAGTGTTCCGGATTATGATCACCACCTGCTTTTCCTGTTGAAGCAGCTCTCATTTTGATGTATCTGCACTGGAGGGCTAGATCAGCTCAGTACGCTATTGTAAGAATGTGGTCTTCCACAAGGCATTCTGCAGCCAGTGCCGATCATCCTGGATTGTTTCATGGTGTAATTCTACCCCTCAGTGCTTATTTTGTAGGCTCAGATATATTGCCTTGCTGTTGATCACTGGTTAGTCTTCATCTGCTGCAACCAGCAATTTTAAGGCATCATCCACTGTTACATTTTCTTATTTTCTGTGGCAGCTGGGATGCCAGAAATATAGAATAATTAACCACCTTGTCTCTAAGACATAAGAAAACAAATTGTGTTGCACATGTGAGCTCAATAGGCAGTATGTATGATATGTGGTGTATTATGTTTGCAATTCCCAGATTGGGGTATAGAAGTAGCTCTCTTGTGGTGTGGAAAGCATCGGGAAATCCCATGATTCAGAGTTTTGTTAACTGCCAGCTGCAGCTTTTTTCACCTTCCTGTGAAGCATCAGGACATTGGCCACAAGTAGGGGTGGAGAGAGGGATGAGATTGATTTGAGTCCACTAATTCTCCTACAGATGCTTAGAAAGCCCAGAGGTTCCTAGCTAAAGGGTCTTGCTCTTCTGCTCAGGGTTGTATTAGTCACCACGTTTTGGGTCTGGAAAGAATTTTTCCTCTAGGTTGAATTGTCACAGATTGGGGATTTTTGCCTTCTGCTGCAGCATGGACTGTTACCCTTTGCTTTTTTTTTTTTTTTTTTTTTTTTGAGCATGCATTAGCCAATTCTTACATTATTGCAATGGCAGGATATGGACAGTGCTCCTGATTCACCTGGTATGTTGCAGGGTGTTCTTGGTATTTTTGTTATTGTTCCTTGTGGTAGTGTATGAGGGTTTGAAGTGGCACTTTTGGGGGTACCTTGGGTAAATGATTGCCTAAGAATGCAGAGAACAACTTGATAGCCTAGGAGACCCCTTCATGCTCACAGTTCCAATGAAGTCATGCTGGTACTCCATAATATGCTACAAAAAATCCTGTAAGGTAAATTATGGGATGTAGGAGACTTTCTGGATCCCTAAAAAAACCCCTACATGCTGCATTGTGATAACTGCACAGTTACAGTAGAAAGAAAGGAAGGAAGAAAGAAAGAGAACACAGCTCTATATGATGTTGTCACTGATTCTTCCCCAAGACAAAGTTACTTTGGGTGTTCGCTATGTGGCATGCTGAGAGATTCTCCCAAATTAGGGTTGCCATTGTGGTACCTAGCTAGTACAAAAAAACCTGTAGCCAGTGCAGAGTTGTGCTCGGTTTCATTGTTTTCATATCTATGTTATAATATTTGATACAAATTTAATTTTGATGCATCTTCCGTTATATTTCAGCTAAGGTTGTATCAGTAAGCCAGTGATTGACTTGGACAGCCCTCAGTTGTTCACAGGTAGACTAGACAATGGCTAAGAATTAGCATTGACAAGAGCTGTGGGCTCTGGAATGGTCCCTGTCAGACAATGATAAATTTACACTTCAAGGAAGGGCCAGTCCAATATCTAGATACTGTTTTGCACTGAGGAGAAATTACCTGAGGGACCGATACTGAATTAGAGAGTCTCCATATATTCTCTTTGCCTTAATTGGATTGGGAATTCTGATTTGGTAAGCAAGCACCTTTGGGGGTCAGGAAATTACTGTGAACAGCCTCTGGCATGTTAGTACAATGTAGGTAAGGGAAGTCGGCAAGCCGGATCCGTAACTTCGGGATAAGGATTGGCTCCAAGGGCTGGGTCAGTTGGGCTGGGGCATGAAGCAGGGCTGGTGTGATCCATGGCAAGTAACTCTGGGCACAAGCTGGGCCCTTCCTGTATAGTGTGAGCCCCTGTAGAAATGAAGGGGTGACATATTAATAGCCAGACTAGCAGGGGTACTAAAGCCCCCCGGAGAGCATGGCTTGGTCCTCAGTCTTCTCATGTATAATGCAGGAACCGAGTCCTGCAGCCAAGGAGGCTGGGAAAAGAAGCTGACAGGGAGATACAGGAGGTGCTGATGGGCAGGGTCAGAGCCCAGAGTTGAATTTAGACCTTCAAAGCTGGCTAAGAAATGCATCTTTAGTTTTAAGATGTAGGGTAAGAACAGGTCTTGCTCTGGTATTTTCTTATGTTCGTTTACTCATATGTTTTTGTCTGTACCTCAGTATATGATTACTGGGTTTTTTGTTCTGTTTTTATAATATATCCGTTCGTGGTTTGTCTCCTTACTGGTTGCCTCTGGAAGGAGTGACTTCTGGGCAGGTGATATTCCAGGATGCCCATCTCAACGGAAAGGGGGACCTATAATTTCTTTCATAACCCAAAAGCGAGGGATCATTTGCAGCCAGCAGAGATCCATCACTACGGCTACAGAGTCTGGTGTAAAGACAGAGGACCTGAGGTGCTGGGGTAGGGAGCTATCTTCAGGCAACCTCCTTCTGCTCCTTGGGCAAAGCGGCAGCGCAGTGTAGAGGAACTCAGGTCTCTGAGGTTCCCCTGTGGACACGTTTGTGACATACATTTACCATGGTGTTTTTAAGACTGTAGTCCATTATTTTAATATTACTTTAAACAATTTATGTAAAATAAAGAATATTTGATTTTTTTTCTTATGCCTTCCAACTACAGAAGGTTTTAATAAATTGTGTGCCTTGAAAATAGTCATCTTTAATTATTATTTTATTTGGCTATAACCCTGCTGTATATTCAAACGCTTTATGAATGCTCATTGGTGTTTTCTTTTTCCCTCTCTAGGAAATGGTAAACTTTACATGTTTGGCAGTAACAACTGGGGCCAGCTAGGACTAGGATTAAAGAATACTGTCAACAAACCAACATGTGTAAAAGGTTTGTTTTATTTCTTCGTTGGCATTTTGAAAGATACTCTGAACATTAAAAAGTGCTTTTTATAGTATATTATCTGTATCCAAATCAAATACAAGTACTTGGCATTCCACCACCTCAGGAGTCTGGGTCTTGTGGAGTTAGAGGGCTTTTCAAGGCATGCAAAATGCAAATATCCTTTTGGCCATTTCTGAGGAGTCCCATTCAGTGTTTTCTTTTTCTGTCCAACTTTTATGCAGGGAATTTTTTTTTATGCAGGGGAATTTAGCAAACTCCTGATTTCTGAAATGCTGTCTGTTCTCACTTTGCACACTATACTAGACTAGCATCATCACCTTTCCTAATGCAAACCCTGAGGGAGAGACCTTCTGACTACCTTTTCTAGAAATTCTTGAGCAAGAAAAAGAAGCAACTGAACCATCAGAAAAAAATGTCATTAATGCCTTTATCCACCTATACAACACATATCGTTACAGAGAGAGGGAATAAATAAATACTCATACTTTTGTGTCAGTTTTTATTTCATCACAGCCTCGTCTCTCTCTCAGCTAGTTTTAACTTCTCAAACATAAAAATCAGTCATCTTTGCCAGTCAGAAATAATTCTGTCAGTTAACTTTTGTACAACTTGCTCTTCCTTCTCCACCCTCATAAAGTCTCGCTCGTTCTCTGCTTTGTTAGGGTTGAGTGCAGGAGAAAATGAATCAATTGATGAATGGGATTGTGGGTGTTTTCATGGTGGGTGAATGAACAGGGTGGTGAGAAACAGTAAGAAGGGTGGTCAGACATGAAAAGAGCAGATGTTAGGAAGAAGTCATTGAGTATTTTTCTCTATTTGGGAAATGGTGAGGGGAATTACTGGAGGGGAATAGGTATCCAGATGTGAAAATAGGGCAGACTGTTGCCCATCACATGTAAAGTGTGTATTTTTGAGGGAACAGGGGTATGGTAGTATAGAGTGAGACAACACAATGGAAGGGTTATAAGGGTACAAAACAAAGGAGAAGCAAGAGAGAGGATTGGCAATATTATTTAAGTAATGACACTGGAGAAAATGGCAACCACATAGTTGGCAGCATAACTTACTACATTCTGGTGAGTATTCTATAGCATAAACAGTAAGTGTGTGGTTTTTGGTTGCATGTGACCTCTTGCAGTTAACTTTACCTGGTTAAAAACCTTCAGTGGATTCCTCTGTTTTAGTTTACTTAGTGAAAATGTGATATTTTTCATTAATGTGGGGGGTACATTAGGTGTTAGTTTAGAATTTCCAGCTTATTTTCTAATTTTACATAGTGCTGGTACAAACAGGAAATGATCAGTTGACTAGACTGAAGAGGATGATTTGGAATGCCTGTCAACCTATTGTAAACTTATTTTCATACTTTAATTCATAGCTTTAAAACCAGAAAAAGTGAAACTTGCTGCTTGTGGAAGAAACCACACTTTAGTTTACACAGGTATGTAAGCCACATCATTTATGTACAAGATAAATACTTAAGGTGAAATAGTGTTCTTGATCTCATGCATATTTCCAGTTCCTGCGAGCTTTTAGTGGAAAATTCTGGCTGCTAATAATTCAACCATTTCTTAGGTGTTCAATGCTTTGAATGTTTAAAATACATTTTCCATGGTATGGTGTTAATAAATTACTTTTATGTAAAAATTTGCTAGCAATAGCCAGTTTGAAGAATTTCTTCCTGCTTAGTTTGAATGTGAGGGTAATAATATCCAGCACTTTATTTAATCTCAGGAAAGGTTCAGATGTATACAACATACTGTTTTGAAGCTCTTATCAAGCTTTAATAAAATTCAGTATACTCTATTGCTGTTTTACTGAGGAAATTTTAAGCTTTAAAAGATGGTGCTTTAATTTTGTATGGTATGTAAGGAGTTGATCCAAATTATTGTCATACTTTTAATATTAAGAAACCACCATCCTAGTGGCATAATTTTTGGGAGCCTACAGTGATGTTGTAAGAAGAATACTGGCATATTGAAGGGTTTCCCTGTGTTGGAGCTCATATAAACAGGACACTGTAAATTAGTTATATAACGTAACCAAACATTGTAATAAGTGACTATATCAGATTGGAATTTACTACTTAAAACAGATACTATAGTTAGATAATTTTTAGGATCTGCACCCCAATAACATTTGTAGTTGTACGTGTTAAAATATTCTGTGTATTTGTAACTGAGTAGGGATACAAGCTGATTAACTCTGCCATTAAAGAATGAATTGCTCCCCCTGCCCTGTTTACAGTGTTGGAAACATATATTCTAGGGCTTCTTTGCCTTTCTCTGAACTATAAAGTGCTGTTTATTTCCAGAGAAAATATACTGGGTAGATTGACCATTCATCCAGTCTAGCATGAGAACTCCTGTGTACTGTAATTAATTTGCAGATATGTTTATAAAAGAAGCTCTTCTGTGTAATACAGAATCTTTTTGTTAAAACTAGCATTTGATTAAATGTTTTATAGCATACATAAATGGTGTGTGTGTATATGTATATGTATGTACATATAAACTTTAATTGGATTTTACAGTGCACAAGGAAATTTGCAACATTATGTATCTGCACTGATAGTACATGACAGTGCTATGTCAGAATTAAGTATTGTTAGAAGACAATGAGTGTGTGTGTTTGTGCATGCCTGCATAAAGGGTGGGATATAAATCTAAATAATAATAATAATAAAGTAAACCTAATTTTCGGGGGCGGGGATTAGAAATTGAGCTGTTTCAAAATATGTGAAAGTAAATTGTGTATTACACAGGTATAACAAGGAATAGTCCAACCGACTAACTTAAGAATCAAATTCCTCACAAGAAAGCTACATATCACTACAGAAAAAATCCTGCTCTATGGAGGGAGACAGGTGAGGTTGATTCACCCTTGAGTCCCATATAAGCCTATGTCAAGGGTGTAAGTGGTGCAGAGGCCTTCAACTAGATTCTACAGATGTCTGAATGTCACCTTCAGGATTTTTTTGTTATAATTTAAAATATTAAATTTCTGCTAGTATTATTAAATGCTTTTTATGTTGGTGCAGGATAATAAACAAATTAAATACACTCTTCAGTATGAAGCCATGCCGTATAGAGGATAGCTATAACTTAGTTGTTACATTTTACAAATAACTGGGAAAGAAAACATGAGTAAATGAAAAGTGTATATTTAACAAGTGAATTGCTTGTCGAGCTCCTGCTGTGTGCTTGTGGAGCTCCTACTACAGGATTGTGGGCTTTTGGTGCTACCATAATGCAAATTATTAAGCAGCAGCCAGGGAGAACCCACACAACCTAATTCACTTGTTAAATATACACTTTTTGTTTACATATGTTTTCTTTCCAAGTTATTTGTAAATGTGATGACTATATTATAGCCATTCTCTGTAGGTCATGGTCATGGCTGCATATTGGAGAGTGTATTTAACTTGTGTATTATCCTGCACCAATAGAGAAACAAGTATTTAATAATATTTAAAAGAAATGTAATATTTTAAATTATAACAAAAAAAATCCTGAGGGTGACATTCAGATTCTGTAGAATCTAGGTGAAGGCCTTCGCACCACTTCCTCCCTTGACATAAGCTTATATGGGACTCAGAAGTAAATTGACCTTACCTATCTCTCTCCATAGAGCAGAATCTTTCCTGTAGTGATTTGTAGCTTTCTTGTGAGGAATTTGATAATTTGTCTTAAGTTAGTCAGTTGGACTATTCCTTGTGATACATGTGTAATACACAACTTACTTTCATGTATTTTGAAACAGCTCAATTTCTAATTTTCCCTCTCCTCCACCACCCAAGAAAATTAGTTTTACTTGATGTACTTCCTGTGATTATATTTTAGTGCATCTTGCAAAAGAACAAAATAATAAATTATTCCTTTTTATAACCTTCAGATAAAAACAACCATGCAGATAGAAAAAGGTCAAAGTTTCTTTTAATGTGTGCACATGACAGCTTACTTTAATTCTTGCTATCAGGTTTCTGCTCCTCTTTGGCTAGAAACAAATGTTGCCAAATGAAGCAGATAAGCTATACTGGGGTGTGTCCTGGCATAGCTTTATAGATTTCATAGATTTCATAGACATTAGGGCTGGAAGGGACCTCGGAAGATCATCGAGTCCAGCCCCCTGCCCAAAGGGCAGCAAGTCAGCTGGGGTCATAGGATCCCAGCAAGATAAGCATCCAGTTTGCTTTTGAAAGTGTTCAATGTAGGCGCTTGAACCACCTCTGGTGGCAGGCTGTTCCAGACCTTAAACAGTAAAGAAATTCTTCCTTATGTCCAGCCTGAAACGATCTTGTAGTAGTTTATGACCGTTCGACCTAGTCGTCATCCCTTGGGGCGCTCTGGTGAACAAACATTCCCCCAGATACTGGTGGTCACCCCTAATAAACTTATAGGTGGCCATCAGATCACCCCTGAGCCTGCGCTTTTCCAGGCTAAAGAGCCCCATGGCTCTCAGCCTGTCATCGTAGGGTCTGCTTCCCTGACCTCTGATCATGCGTGTGGCTCTTCTCTGGACTCTCTCAAGCTTCTCCACATCCTTTTTGAATTGTGGAGCCCAAAACTGGACGCAGTACTCCAGCTGTGGCCTCACCAAGACTGAGTACAAGGGGAGAATGACGTCCCGGGATTTGCTTGAGAAGCATCTATGGATGCAAGCCAGTGTTTTGGTCGCTTTACTAGCTGCAGCATCGCATTGCAGGCTCATGTTCATCTTGTGGTCAGTGATGACCCCCAAGTCTCTTTCTTCCATAGTGCTAGCTAGCATAGCACTGCCGAGCCTATAAGGATGCTGTGGGTTTTTCTTTCCAAGGTGGAGAACCTTGCATTTATCGGCGTTGAACACCATCAGATTCTCATCCGCCCACTTGCTGAGCCTGTCCAGTTCAGCCTGGATCACCCGCCTGTCTTCTGGTGTGGTCTTCTTCAGCTGATCCACTTTGGCCATTTGTCTGCCCATTGGTCTTATTAGGCAATGCATGATGTGCTCTGGGGTGCATCTCTGAACGTGGGGAACCCCAACTTCCCATGATTCTAGAGATGCACCCAGGAGATTGCCGGGGCATGTCGCTGGAAACAGGGACCCTCAACTTCCCCTGCTTTGAGGCACCCTGGAGATTCTGGAGGCATGTCTCTGGAAATTGGGGAAGTCAGGCAGGTGCTTCTATAGTAGCTGGAGAGTGCAGGCAGTCGTGGGCTGCCCATGTTCTCCCACCATAAAGAGATTGACTTCTGTGGCAATAAAGTGGCACAAATTATTACTACCTTTTGTCACTGCTACAAATTTGGGCATTTGTGGCATGACAAAGGGTAAGGAGATCTATTTGCTTTCATTTTGTGCCACCATAAAACTCTTATGGCTACACAAAGGCAACAAGAGGGGACATTAATTTCTACTCTCTCAGAATAGAACAACTTTACCCCAGTTTGGGCTAATTACCAGAGGAATTGGTCCTTGGTCTTGTTTACCTATAGATACATTTGGTAACTTGGACTTCCCAGGAGTTACTTCATTGTCGCAGGGTGCTAAGGTGATCCTGCTCTTTTAAGAATAGAGACATACTAGCTAGAGAGCCCTGTGAGCTGAGGCAGAGCTCCACAGCTGCAGATTGCCTAGACAGCAGGCTAATGAGAGAGTTAGCTGGCATCTTAGAACCAGTCAGCTGAATGGAAGGAGGCAGGGCCCTGGGCACATATAAGCCCCAGGGCTGGGGCTGGCAGGAGTTAGTTCTCTGGCAGCTGTCAGGAGAAGGAGCTCTTGCAGGAAAGAACTACTCAGAGATGTTTGGCTGCCTGATCTGCTGCTTGTATGACTAATAGAGCTCCAGGAGCTCATAAGGTCCCCAAAGCTAGGAGGCACTCAATGCTCGGGGAGAAGGTTGTCTTCTTAAAGAGACAGAGTGTGGCCTGCATCGTTATTATTATGTTATAGCACAGGGGCTTATATTTATGTTGTTATTTGCACTGCTGGACTGAGATGATGCTAATAGGGGAGGTTTTGGAGCCACACATCTAGCCTATAAGGATTAGGGTGTCTCGTGAGGCACCGACTTGGAGTGGGACCCGACAAGAGATCCAAGAACACACAGGGTTTAGTGGTGTTCAACAGGACCGTGGCTACACAAACTTGTGGGCAGCCTCCCTACGTACTATCTTAACCAACAAGTCGTGGCAGGAAAGATTAGAAGGCACCAGCAGGACGAAGCTAGCATAGTCATGAAGCCCTAGGGGCATCATGGCCATCCCTGAGGACCCCATGACATGTCATTTGTCTACAGACCGTTCATACCAGGATTATGCCAATGTAGCTCCAATTTGCTTGCAGGCTACAGGAACTACAGAATATATATTTAATTAGTTCCTTTACTTTTGAAGTCATTCTTCAATACATAGAAAACCATTAGAATTTCCCTAGTCTCCAATATATAGGTAAGCAGCTTGCTTAGTTAAAACAATGATTTCTAATGCTAGCTGTAGAATATTTTAGAGTAACAGCCCAAATTTTTTGCATAACATTTTTCTGTAGAAAAAAATTAAGCTGAATTGCTCTGATTTCCCTGATTTGATGTTGCTACGGATGTATATTACATGTGCACATTACATTTGTGTTTCTATGTGCAGAACAAGGAAATGTATATGCTGCTGGAGGTAACAGTGAAGGGCAGCTGGGATTAGGTGACACAGAGGAAAGAAGCACGTTTCATCTAGTTAGTTTTTTTACCAACGAGTACAAGATCAGACAGCTGGCAGCTGGATCGTACATCTCAGCAGCATTAACTGGTGAGTGAATAATAACAACTAATGAATTAAAAATGAGGTTTTTTTCTTTTTAGCTTTAGGCAGTATGACTTATCCCTCAACATCCCAGCGATGGAGACTTGATAATCGGTATGACTATACTGCTTTTAGTCACCTGCTGCTAGACCTCTTTTCTCTGTCTTCAATCTCATCCTTACCTACTCCTTTCCCAAACCAAGCCTTTTAGCAGCCATTTTCAGTGCATGACTGGAATTAAATGGTCTGAACTGAGGCTGTAATTCCTGTGGGTAGCCAGCCAGTAGAAAATGTAGTAAGGTATTTGCTGCACTGTTTGTCTTCCTGCCAGTGACTAAGACTCTCCTGAGATTTGCTAAGCAATGGCTGTAAGTCCAAACAGTTTTTCAGGGGCTGCTTCAGGTAGAGATTGTTTCACACAGAGATACCTTTCCTCAACTGGGAAGTGCTATTCAAAGAAAGCTCCGTGCTATCTAGAGATTAGCACACCACTTTTTTGCTTCATTGACTCCCTGATGACCTCGCTGGTTTCTTCAGGGATGAGACTTTATCCAAGACAAACAGGAGAACATCTACTATAAGCAATGTGACAGAGACAGAATAAAGTTAGGAGTTTGAAAGTTAGGATCTGAGGGGGGTAGGTTAGGCTGAGGGGGTGGGAAACATTGGAGGTAGGTCAAAACTCTGAGAATCCAGTTGAAAAGAAGAAGAAATGGGATTCCTGTTACTACATAAAGTGGGTGTGGGGGAATTATCCTGGTAGTTACCAGTAAGAATGGGAGTAAACTTTTTGTCTATAAAGTTCACCAGAACTTCAGTACACAGATGTCCATCAATTTATCTCTCATGTCCTCACCCTTATTTTTTATTGAATAAATATTCCTGACATAATTTTCAAAATTGCCATCTGTGGCCTGAGGTGGTTACTAAATATTCCCAGGCACCTTTCAGAGGATTTGAGGGGTACCTTTGTGTCCCTGACCCCGCTGCCTTGTTTGGAGGTGTCCTGAATTCTGGCTGTTCTCAGACTTCAAAAGTCATCCTGCTATAAGTGGCAGACATAGTTTGCAAAGTGCTTCTGATTGGAAGCCACAAAGAAATGTAAATATTGCTTATATAAACATGGCTTTGGTTTTATCTCGGTTCACATTCTCTCTCTCCATTTTAGAGGATGGACAGCTTTTTATGTGGGGTGACAACTCTGAAGGTCAGATTGGCATGGCACATGAAGCCAATGCGTGTGTTCCTTGTCAAGTGGATATTGGAAAACCTGTTTCCTGGGTCTCGTGTGGATATTATCACTCTGCCTTAGTAACAAGTAAGAGAATTAATATGATACTTAATAGAGCTATGCCAGTAGTTTCCAAACTGTGGGTCTTATTTTTTATTTATTTTTTACTTACTAAGTTGCGCTGAAAATTGATGACACTTACAAGTGCATCGATACATTGGTCCAATATCAGACTGGTACCGATATAAAGAAAATTGTTTATATCGGATATCGACCCGATGGGGCCGATAATTTGGCTGATAAATGCCCGTGCTGTGTGCAGCCACAGCACAGCACGGAGCAGAGCCAGCAGCATGGAGAGCTGCCTCCAGCTGGTTAGTCGGAAAGAGAGTGGGGAGGGAAAGGGTATGGGGGGGAACAGATCAATGCCCCCTGCGGTGAGAGAGGGGGTAGAGACAAGCACTGCCCAGCTGGGGGGGAGGGGAGGGGCAGAACAGAGGCGCGGCTCATGGGGGGCAGCTGCCACCACTGCTTGCACCTTGGGAGGGCAGGGGGGCATGTGCCCCCGGATCTGTGCGGCAGAGGTCATGCAGCAGCTGCGGGGTGAGACGGAGCCCGTGCAGCGTGGGGCTTTTCTTGCTGGGGGCTGGGCTTGGAATGGGCCACCCCAAATTTCACTGCAGCTCCACTTCCAGCCCTATGCCATCACTGGTGCAGCCTGACTTTTTCCGGTGCTTGGATGGAGGTGGAGCATCTAATCGGTGTTGTGCCAGGTGGCGGGCAGCAGTGCAGGGCTTGGAGCAGAGCTGCAGCAAAATTTGAGGTGGCTGCAGCCTCCTCCCAGTGCCATCGGCACTCCCTCCAGGCCCAGCCCCTAGCAAGCAAAGTGCCAGCTCCAGCTCCATGCTGCAGCCCGCCCCACACAGATTTGGAGGCACATCTTCCACCCCTACCCCCCCCTTCCCAGGGTGCAAGCAGCCGCAGGAGCTACCCATACCCCGCAAATTGTGCCTGTATCACATACTGCTCCCGCCCGGGTTGGCCAGCGCCTGCCTCTGCCTCCTCCCTCACTGTGGGAGACACTGATCTGCCCCGCCATGCCCCTTCCCTCCCCTTCCACCACACCGGACTTACCACCTGATGCCAGCTGTATCGGATATCAGATTGGTATCAGCCGATATGCTTCCTTAAATATCAGCTGTCGGTATAGGCCCCGAAAACCTTTATCATTGCACCCCTACTGACAATATATTGAGTACTAGACATATCAGGTAAGTTTTATATAATCAGTAACTTTGAAATAGCCACTCAGATATCCCACAGCAACCTACTACAACACAGAAAGAAAACCTTTGCTGACCATAGACCCTTGGTTGTCATCACCCCACACTTCAAGCAATAAGAAGGATCATAATCACCAATGACATGGAAGGTTTACTGGGTCATCATGAGTGGTATAGCATGGTGGTGGCCTACCTGTGGCACAAACCCTACATGGCATGCATAGTCTCTGTATGTAGTATAGCAGCAGATAGGGCAAGAAGCTGAAAGCAGGGCAGCAGATGGGGCAGGGAGCATATGGCAGGAGGCAGAAAGCAGAGCAGCAGATTAGGCACAAGAAGGGAATCAAAGTAGCACTTGGGGAGGGTGCAGAAAAGCATGTCTGCCGAAAAGGTTTGCCCCCACTGGTATAGGAGAAATGTCCTCTTGAAGTCAGCTTCCTGGGCAGGCACGAAAGCAAGATGTATGGCGCCAGCAGAAGATGGACAAACTAGGTGTGTAACTCAGCAAGATGGCTGTTACTCTTGAAGGGAGAAGGCCTTGGGTGCCAGTTTGGTCCCTGTTCCCAGTGAGGCAGAAACTTCCCCATTGCTTTCCACCCAAGTAAATGTAAGGTGAAGTAGCCCATTTTCAAAAGAAGAGCTGAGAGGGACCTGGATAATTCCTAATCTATGGCCTCTTGTTGTTCTGGGATGTAAGGGATTATAGATTCAAACCCTCCCTGTGTGTGTGTGTGGGGAGGGGGGTGGAGCTGGAATCTGGGTCTCCCACTTCCTGGGTGAGTGCCCTAACCACTACACTTCTGAACGGAAATATGTGAGGGCTGCCTTCCTTCTCTGGCATTTTAAGACCTGTTTTTCATGGGATTTTGCCTGGCTGCAATTTCAGGGCTTGTGCTTATGCAGTTATATATGTATAGCATCACATCCATTCAGCCTACAGAGCATGCTCAGTAGCTGAATGGACATTTACACAATCACACTACACATGAACTAGGATTGCAAAGCTGTGTACATGCTAAAAATGACACTTGCACAGCTGGATAAGTGTCATGTGGGTGTGCAGAGTGAAACAGAATTCTGCCCATAGCTCTCCCCATAGCCAAAAAGGCAGCCTTGTGCACCTTGAGGTGCTGATCCTGTTCCTTCCAGGAGGATGTATATACTTCTTCCCTTTTCTTAGTCTGCAGCCTTACATGCCTCGTTAATGCTAGGTCTTGTTTGATCCCATCTCCTAAGAAATCAGAACTTGCTCATGGAATCATCTGCTAGAATCCAGCTCCCTCAGGGGAGGTATCTGAGTGTAAAAGAAAGGGGCCAGAGGGCCAGCTGCACTGGTGGGCTCCACTTTTTGCCTGATATTAATGAATCTGCTTTCACAGAAAGTGATAAACCTGCATTGTAGGGTCCCCCTTCCCACTGCGGGCATTGAACCCTGGACTGTTTGTGCTGTTAGACAAAGTAGGTTAGTTTAAAATACCAAAATATCTCTGGCAACAGGGACTAGAACCCATGATTCCCACTGCAGGTTAGTACCCCTCTTGATGGCTACAGTCACACTTTCTCTTGCATGCTGTCCTTTTGCCTTTATGAGTTTTGCTGTCTTTTCCAACTAGTGGCTTGGCATCTCCAAGTTGGGTGGAAGATGCTGTCAAGCCCTACCTAGCCCATGACCTGGTGGCTATTACATTCTTCTGTGAAATAGGAAAGGTGGGTTCAAATGCCCTCCAGGTTAGCTGGACCTCAAATCCAGGTCTTTCACTTCCTGGGCAGCTACCTTACCCAATAGGCTACTGAGGAAGAGGAGAACGTTTTCTCCCTTGCTTTCAGTGTCAAACACTGATGTTTGGGGGCTTTTTGGCTAAGAGTTGAGAGACTTTTTGTGGAATTAATGTGTGTTCTCAGCTGACATTGGATTTCAGCAGGGCAGAAGTGGACATCGTTGCTTATGTAGCCAAACTGGATTGCTACTGAGCATGCGCAGTAGCGCCAGTTCAGCTAGTTTAAGGATCTTTTCAGGCTAAGATGAAGATGCATTTTGTCCTACTAAAACTGAAGCCATAGGGGCTCCCAAAGAAGTAATTAAGCAATAGAAAAACTCCCTCTTGCATGAGAAATTTTCATGCAAGCCTGTGTAGACCAGCAGAGAAAAAGTACTTGAGTACTTCCTCCAGGGATGTGGGGGAAGAAATTCTGTACCTTTTAATGAAATAGAGCAGCTCAAGAGCTACAGATGACATTCTGTACCTCCTGAACGTGCTGGTTGTCTCCAAGGACAGGGAGCTCTTCGCAACCCCTTATATATACTAAGTGTTTTTGCCAAATCTGCCTTCAAATAATCAGGAAACAAAATTCCACAAACATAAAACATGTGCTCAGTAAGAAAGTTTGTTCTTGCTGAGGAAAAACACATTTATAGCCCTGGTGCTTATTAGATGACTTAGATAGAATTGTTAGTGACAGATTTGACCCACAGTTCTTCATAAAACCCAAATAAAGAGACAGGAGAGGAAAATGAAATCTGTGCAACAGTATGGTGTATTTCTTTTCTATTGTCAAAATTAAAATTGTATTTTTTTTTCTTTTTCTGTTTTTGCCCATTTTGTCCCTTTAGGATTTCACTGGCTTCAGGTCTTTAACTTTCTTAGTTACAATTTTGCTGATACCTGCTTGTTTTGATAATATAGTACATATGTAGCTTTAATGCCTGATTTTGCATTCAATTTTCTTCTATGATTACCTTTAATTCTTTCCTATTTTCAATTTTTGTCTAGACTTATTTGTTTCTTACATGGTCATTGCCAATAGAAGCTCAAAGTCTGAGAGAGAGGTAGAGTAAAGGGACAAATTTGGCATCTGTTCTAAGAAATATAGTAGTAGAGGTTCATATTCTGGAAACTAATTTGAGTTTATATTTTTCAGGAATGCTTAAAATATATCTTTATTAAAGTTAATTTTTAAAAATTGGTTAGCAATTCATAGCATTTGGTTATGATTTCTCAGATGATTTCGGGACATATTAATAGCGTCTGTTAATTGTATACATTTTTATTAATTTTAACGTTTATTCTGCTATAGTATAAAATTAACATATCTCAGACACATTGTATATAGGTATCTGTGATGATTATGTGTCAGTAATGAAACATCATATAGTGTACTGTGTGTTAATTATAAACGTAGCTGTCACCTATAATTTCCTTGAGCAGCTACTCTTTACATTAGCCTAAACATTTATTTGTCTTGGATTTACCCCATGTTAAAAGTTTGCATATCCTTGTACTTCCTTATATCAAGCTATGATTAAAAAAACCTAAAATTACTTTTTTCATACAGAATGCAGGGAGATTTAAATAAGGCAAGGATTTTTGGATGATATCTTTTTTTTATACCAACTGCAAAGTTGGGATAGAGTTAGATGAGCTTTCGAATGCAAGGCATTCTTCATCAGGTCTGAGTGATGATTAAGAATGGTAGGTACAGCTGTGAAACTGGAGAAAGGAAAAATTCCCAAGAGAAGCACATGAACAATTAGTAGAAGAAAAAAAGCTTTGCTGAGAGATCAAGACCTCTCAAAAGAGAGGACAGTCATTATCACCTGTAGTGTGATGGAAGAATGCCAGGTATTAGGTAGATTCCTAATGTGGCGCACACAGCATGCCATAAAGTTGATATCAGTGGTCAGTTCTTGGTCCCTAGGATTTTCTTAGGGAGATTTAATTTTATGTTGTGATATTTTATCCAAATATTTTCAATGAGCCAATTCTTATCTAATTGTATGCAGTTCTTACTGATTGATAGATGGGAGTGATATATGAACATCTGAGCACAAAAATTGTCCTAAGTACTAATTCATGATCAGTTTTCTGTCCTGCTGATTTTGTGTAAAATCTGATTGGTATGCAGTCCTGGTATTACCCCAAAATAACTAATAAATAATATTTGGTATAATGCTTTACTTCTCAATTGACTGTACAATTATTAAGTAATAAATTACCACTGAGAATGTTGTCTCTGACCTATTGTTACTGTAAATAGGCTTTGATTCATTTCCCTAGTCAGTAAACAGATTTTAATAGTAGTATTCTAGTGTTTTTGTACATAAAAATCAAGATGAAATTGCTATAATTGTGGCTCTTTAAAAAAAAAAAAAAGCCTGCATCCTGCAACTTTTGATGTAGAGAGAGCCTCTTTACAATAGGAGCAATTCAATATAAATATAAAGGCTGCAGAATGCCAAAGAAAATTCTCAGAATAGAAAATTAGATAAGCATATAAATATCATAGTAGATGTTAGTTTTGAAGCCTTTATTTCTTGTATCAGCATAGTAGAAGGGTAAATAGATGGGCAGATTAGGAGCTACTGTATTTACTTGAATGTAAGTTGGCTCTGAATTTAAGATGACTCCAGGAATTAGATTCTGTATATGGAAAATGTATCTATTTGTTATAATTTTCCAGGTATAGAATCTAAGTATTGCAGGATTGTCTTACATTTTTTCCCATCCCCCACTACAGGGAAAGCAGGGGTGGGGGTCAGGTGGCCCCCTTGCCCTCTGCCTACCCACGTTTTCCCCATGCAGCCTTCCTGGCCCCTGGCCACCTGCACCCCCCACTTCCATCTCCCCAGAGTCTCTGCCTCTTCTGCCCCTTCCCTGCCCTCATTCCTTTGTCTGTGTCTCCCACACCTCCCCCCTGCCCTCCTTACTCTCAGAGGCTGTTTCCTCCTGGAGCACAGCATGTGGAAATACAGCCAATGCCAGCCATGCAGCAGTGTTGGTGCTGCCGACTGGCCATGAAGGGGACAGAGTTTCCATGTGCTCCATGTCCAGGAGGGAACCCAGCCTGAGCTGCACCTGACAGTAAGAGGGGTGGAGAGGGGGGGAAAGGCTGTGGAGGATAAGCAGATTGGGGAGCAGGAGACTGCTACAGATCTGACTCTGGCCCCCAAGTGGGCTGAGGGCCAGAGTAGGAACAGCCCCCTGCCCCTTCCCCCCTTCCCCTGCTTTGTAGGCAAACATAAGATGAGGAACAGCCCCCCATGCTGACTGTGGAGGGGGAGGGTGGTAGGGGGGAAACCTCATTTTAGATTCACGTAAATACAGTAATTCAAATTGGCATAGTAGAAACAGCAGCAGCAGGGAACTGAGTAATGACAAACAAAATTTTTACAAAGAGAATGGATCACCCAAAATTAGGGCCGAACAGTTTGAGAATTGGGTTCCCCTAAGTTTTTAAGGTTTTAATCCACAGGAAGGATTTACTTTTCACTATGGTGGTCTTTGCCAGAGGGCTGGTATGTAATACTGACACACATAATTCATTTGCGAACCTGTATACAAATTTCTTATACTTAATTCTGGTAGGGATAATGCGTGGGTGAATCTTGAAGCACTTGATGCAATACCACATATTTCTAAAAGATAGCATAATAGCTCTTTTTGTAGTGCCAATCATTAACAGGTTTTCCACAATATTTGTACTGCTTTCCTCCTCTTTTTCACACTTCCTAGGATATTAGAATATGAATTTTCCAACAAAATCCCAAGCCTTTTCCACTAATAGGGGCAGTATCTTCTGAGATTCCTCGCAATTAACTCCAGTTGACTTAATTAGTAACTGCAATAAGAGATGTATGCCTTACAGCTCAGTTTTCTTCCTGACAGACTCCCTGGGTGGGAAACATTACAATTATTTTTTTTCCCCATAGAATATACATACACTCCAGTCATCTTTGGTGTGTTTGTTAATGAGTACAGTGAACATGATCCTGTGATGGGTTGAAAATTCTCAGTCACCTCAAAGTCGATACGGATTAAAGATGTACATTATTTTATAGAACTGGAGCTGTAATAATTTTTTGAATGCAAAAACAAAGGACATTTTATCAATTATAAAGGCATGAGAAAAAACTGGGCCAGCTTTGCTTTTGGATGCTTCCCTATAAATCTTGCTTTCTTTTGTATCTCTATAGGAGATGGCCAGCTGTACACTTTTGGAGAGCCTGAGAATGGAAAACTGGGTTTGTTACCTGAACAACTGAAAAACAGTAAGGTTCCACAGCCTGTATCAGGGATTTTGGAAAGTGTTAAAAAGGTTGCCTGTGGTGGAGGACATACAGTGGCACTTACAGGTATGCAGGTTTCTTGGCTATTTTTTTCTGATCTTGTAATCAATAGACTTCATTTGCTTGATAGAGCTAAGAATCTTGTAAAGTGTAAGAAAATGCCTGAGCAGTGCTCTAGTGGCATGAAGGTGATCGCTCTGGTTCTTTTGTTTTTTTCTCTATAAGAAATATTTCCCCTTTATATAAAAATATAAAGTACTCATATTTAGTAAGTAGATTGTCACTTTTGTGCCTAGCTATATTTTCATAGTGAAGAGGAATGAAACATGATTCAGTGAGCCAAATACAGGACGGATGATTTTGAGTCCCAGTTCTAGTACAGATTCCGTCCATAAACTTGGGCAAGATACTTAATTTCTCTGCTTCTTTATACAATACTGTCTTATAATACTTTTCCAAGAGACTGTGATTTGATTTAAAAAAAAGAGAGAGATGACAAAGATTTGGAAGTGTTGATAACATTTTGTAAGTTTTCTTGGATTGGTTATTGTCATTTTCCATGTGTAGTTCTCCCAAAGCAGTTTGAACTTACTCAAAATGTTCCAGATAGACTGACTGCTTAGTACCTACCCAGATCCTTTCCTAATATGTTATTTCCATGATTATTATTTTCACTGGCTTCTGTTAAAATATTCACATCAAATGGAAAAATTAGTTATTTACTTACAAGCTCTGCAATAAGAAGCTCAGTTGATCTTTTAGACCAGGGGTCAATACACCTTTCCATGAGAGAGCCATCTCACTTCGGTATGGAGAAGCTTTTCATGCTCACTCCCCATTTTGTTGCACAGAAGAGAAAAGAATCATGAATTGAGTGGCCATGCAGTGACTAAACTGACCACCTTTACTGCCTGATCTAAAATGACCTTAAGATTGGCAGGCATTGTTTTGGCTGCTAGAGCCTCACAATGTATACTGCAGTGTGAATTTGGCAGCAGATGCAACTTCTCTCACTTTTGCTGGAATGCCTCCTGACTTGCAGGTCATGGCTCATGTCCCGTTGGTGCACACGCTATCCATTATCGGTTATGAAGTTATCCATTTTCTTGAATATCTGTTCTGCTGTTGTATGACTTGACAGAGCTTCACAAAACAAAACATCTTCTTTAATTAACATATCTGCTTCAAAGCTTACATATGCAAGAAGTTGAGCAAAATTAGTTGCATCTGTACTTTCATATAATTACAACAAAAAGCACTTGCTTTTCTTGAGGCATTCAGTTAGTTTTTCTTTCACTTGACAAGCCATATCTTCCATTCTTCTTGATACTGTGTTGTTCAACAAAGGAACAACATCCAACTGTTTTGCAAATTTCTCTCCAAGAACAGATGAAACAATGTCTTTTGCAGCAGGAAGCACGAGAGTCTCATCTATTGTATGTGCATTCACGTCAGAGTGATCCTTAAACTTACTTTTTATGATGCCTCCAATGCCTTTGCATTAACACCACTTAGAGCAGTTATTGTTTTCTTATGGTTTTGGAACTGGCTGAGTTTTCTTTTTTAAAAAATCAAGAGGTTTGTCTTTAAGAGTTATGCTTTGTATGAAGATGCTGCTGAAGAAGCGAAGGTTTCATGCAGTGGTTTGAAAGGAGTTCGTAGCAGATCACGCACTGAGGTATTGGTTCACTTTCTTCACCACTCCAGGTAAATCCAAATTCCAAATAGCTGGGATCATACCTTCTGGTAATCTTACGCTTACCAACTGTTGCAGCAGCTGGGCCTGTTTCAGAAGTGCCAGCAGCTCCGTCACTCAATCCCACAACATGAGCTGTACTACTTCCCAGTAAATCAGCAGCTTCTTCAAGGTCCAACTCTCTTGATTCTTCAAGTTTCCCATTGTTTCAGTGTGCTTTCTCTTCAGAGAAGCTGAAGTCAGCCACCTTTCCATTGTGGTATTACTAGTATTTATGCAACAGCTTTCGATTGTAATGCCTGTGCATAATACAACAGGAGCTCAAACCATAGAAAATCACCCTCATGCAGCTGAAGCCAAGATGGTGAATCTGCACAGAATTTGAGAAAGTTTGAGAGAAAACAGATGGTTCTACATGTAGGGGTGCAAGTGCTGGTCTATTTATGTGTATCCCCCTTTATTAAATAATGATTTGTCCACGCTCGACTGCAGTCACGCGAGCAGCATTCTACAACAATTGCTAGATAGTGCCAAAAACCAAATAAGGAAGAAGGCGTATATAGAAATCAAATATCCAGTGTACTATACTTATATAAATTCTGTAATTATACTAAATCTGTTAACGCATACCACTGATAGGTTGTTTGCGTACCACTTGTGTTATGAGTACCACAAATTGGGAACCGCAGACCTCGGGCACAGGTTAGCAAGCCAGTAAGCTATGGCTTTGATAATTATAGCCATCAAAGGTACAAATGTATTCTCACTCTTGCCTCCTTAGATCACCCCCACTCAAAATACCTTTGATACTCTTCCTTCATATCACTTCCTTATCTCTCTTAAGGTCCTTAAATAGTTTTTCAGCTTTAAATTTTACACTTTCACATGTTCTTTTCCTTCATTAGCTTATATTCCTATTCATGTTTATTAAGTTTTCTGAACACTTTGGTCAAAGTCAGACAGTATATTTTCTAAGTTTAAAATGATTTGTTATTTCAAAACATTTGCTGTCACTTGAAGAGAGTTTTGTGGTTTGTGTTTTCTTTGAATTTTCACATGTGATAAAGTTTTTTTTGGATAACTGACTTATTTCAAGTCACAAATCCTATTTCTATTTCGATAAAATGATTCTGTTAAAAAAGTTCTGTATCAAAACAGAATTAGAGTGGGGATTAAGGATAGTCTTATTGTTTCAGGCAGTCCTTATTTTTAATAGTAAGAGGCTTATCTAAAAAATCACATTTAATAAAATACTCTCTTTTTTTCCATGGAGGATACATTCAGATTGTCCCTAATATGTTTGTTAATGAGTACAATACAATGACCATGACCCTGTGGTGGTTTGAAAAACCTCAACCCCCTTGAAGTCAGTAGGGATTTAGGACTTACATTATCTTCCAAAACTGAGTCCAGTCTGTCCAAGTCTTGTCAATGACAAAGCCTCAGTAAGGCTAGAATTGGGCCCTTTCTGTTTAGTGTGCAGTTGTCTAGCATTTGTTGCATTGGGCTAGAATAATTCTGCTTATGGGGTAGAGAGAAAATTCATAGATTCATAAATGTTAGGGTCAGAAGGGACCTCAATTGATCATCGAGTCCGACCCCCTGCATAAGCAGGAAAGAGAGCTGGGTCTAGATGACCCCAGCTAGATACTCATCTAACCTCCTCTTGAAGACCCCCAGGGTAGGGGAGAGCACCACCTCCCTTGGGAGCCCATTCCAGACCTTGGCCACTCTAACCGTGAAGAAGTTTTTCCTAATGTCCAATCTAAATCTGCTCTCTGCTAGCTTGTGGCCATTATTTCTTGTAACCCCTGGGGGTGCCTTGGTGAATAAATACTCACCAATTCCCTTCTGTGCCCCCGTGATGAACTTATAGGCAGCCACAAGGTTGCCTCTCAACCTTCTCTTGTGGAGGCTGAATAGATCCAGTTTCTCTAGTCTCTCCTCGTAGGGCTTGGTCTGTAGGCCCTTAACCATACGAGCGGCCCTTCTCTGAACCCTCTCCAGGCTATCCGT